TTGGCGCATCCGCCGCAGTAACTGCGTCGGCTTACGATCGCCAAGTACCTCGTCTGTCAGGAGCTGCTGTAGTCGTTTTTATTCAGTTGCCGTTGTTCTTTTGATCAGCTCCTCAAGCAGGGTTTTGTAAGGGGTGTCTTGTTGAGGATTTAGGAGGGTGTCCCTGACTTCCTAGGCAATTGACGGGGTGAGAACTGAAATGATATGGTTGTATTTCGTTTTCTCGGTGTTGATCCCTCTTGTGGCAAACTGGGCCTCCACCTGAGCAAACCATACATGTGGATCTGCTGGCCAGTACTGAGGTAGTTCCAGGCTAACTGCAGCCTTCATGGGTGTGGCAGTCGAGCCCACCGGTGGTGTTTCTTTGAGTGGCATGTTCAAATCACGTCTGGGTCACCAATTTAGAAGTGTTGTATAAAAAGGAACAATGTTGACAACAGGTACTAACTTTTGAGAAAGGAACTTTTATTCTAAACTATTTTACAGCGTGTACAAGAGAGAGTGGGAGTATTGCGCGTAGAGATGTAGCTTGGAGAGTGGTTATGATGAGACTGGAGTACTGCGCGTAGAGATGTTGCTTGGAGAGTGGTTGTGATGAGACTGGAGTACTGCGCGTAGATGTTGCTAGGAGAGTGGTTGTGATGAGACTGGCTAAAAATGGCCAAGTGGTAAAAATAGGGTTGGGAACACAGGCCAGAAGAACAAGGGTAAATCTAATCATAAAGTAATAAATCCTAGACCAGACGTTTACCAGAGGAATGTGGTAAGAAGGCAAGAGCAATAAAAGCGGGTCCTTGTGTAGGAGTGCTCTTAAATCAATTAGGAGGCTTGACTTTACAGAGTCAAAAGTTAAAGGCTCCTAATCTACTGCTGGGAAAAATGTACATGGGATCTACTGTAGATGCAAGTGTCCTTATTTTTACAGGGGGGGTGAAACGCTACAACGTAACGTTGGCATCGATGTAGCTTCATCGGTCTTTCTTCATCGGTCTTTCTTCATCGCTCTTTTTCATCGATCAAAAGGGATCGATCGATCGATGTAGGGAACGATCTATCGATGTAGAAGAATGATCGATCGATGTAGGGGAACGATCGATCGATGTTGAAGAACAATCGATGTATTGTCTCCAAGTTTTTGCCTCTTTGGCGTTCCATAAGTTTTTGCCTCTTTGGCGTTCCATACTCTGTCGACAGGTCGGCCATGGTTTTACGAAATTGCACACCTGCAATTTCGTGTACATGTACATGTACAGTATATGTACATGGTCATGTGCAGTCCATGAGTACATGTACTCCATCAACGCACGTAACTACTACGGACAACTTGATTCTCGTGCAAGATATTTAATTCGCAATAGCTTGAAAATACTACTGATGATTTTATTAGACATCAATACACACGGCACTTTATCTAGTTTGTTTCGATAAACTGGAGAAGTTGTTTTAAAAGGGAAGAAACCATGGATGTATTTTCTTTCCAATCTGATTGAGTTTATTTTGTAAAAATCACTTTTTCAAAATTTGTTTCAAATTTTGGGCAGCTTGGTTCATATAATACTGCGGTTTAATGTTGTCTAATCCATTTCTAGTTATCAGGTTATCTTCGTGAACTTTATTTGGTTGTGTTTTGTTAAAAAATAATTATGATATTCATCTGCGAGAAGAAATGTCAGAACGATCATGTTCGACGTCGCCCATGCCTCGAAATCCACAGTAAAGTGATCGAGTACGCATGCGCTAGCTCTCAACTTAGTGCACAAAGCCACCAGGGCATGGGTGTGAACATACGTGACCCCTCAGCGACAGGGAATCACGAAGAGAACCCGTTATGTTAACAGAAATTGCTTTTTACATGTTGCAAATGTGCCTAGGAAAACCGGGTAAACACAAGCGTTATGGTGAGAAAAAAGTTGTTCTGAGTTGTTTGTGAAGACAGAAAAGAAACAGGGTGTATTTATTTTTCGTTCTTATTTTTTTAAAATTAGTTTTCTCTAAGTTGCTTATCATGAACAATTTTAGGGTCTCACCGAAAAATTAGGGTCGGTCGGGAAATCGGAAGCCGGTATTGTTTTGGCCTTTGCAAGTTGGATTCTCCCACCGTTATTTGGTTGCTAAAATGTCGATGTTTTTATTTGTTGCATCTTCAAGTAGGCCTACGCCTCTATTACCACTAAGAAAAAGAATGAACTATAATCGATGGGGCGAAGTGGAAATGGGGCGAATGTATGGCGCGAAGTGATGAGGGGCGAAGTGGTTTGGGGCGAAGTGATGACCGACACCGAGTGCGCGCGCTGCGGGAGGTGACGCAGTGCACGTTTTCTGTCGGCGTACATGTATGGGTTCTTTAAGGAGAAGACGGGGGGAAATGGAGTCAATCACAGGTCAAATTGAACATTGTCACAAAAATGAGGATATTTTGTTTCCTCTGAAAACAAAACCACACTTTTTGTCTTTCTTTATTTACAAACAAAGTGCTTTAAAGGCCATCGTAGAAACCATTTCTCGAGACCGCGATAATACATGGAGTAAGGACACAGACTCCGACTCTGCTTGTATACGGTGCGCAACCAGATTTTCTAAGCTATCGTAGAAGAAAATAAATTGAACCACAAACAAACTTTATGAATCAAGTTAAAAAGTAAGAGTTAAACAACAGCAACGATAGAATAATTTAGGAAGGTGAGCGAGCAATCTTTATTTCTATTGGGAAATGTGATCCCCCAGAACTCAACTGTGGGGTCCGACGTCCGCCACGCTCCGACTGGGAGCGGCATGGGGCGGGGCGGACGTCGGACCCCACAGTTCTGGATGTAAACTACCACGATAATAGAGGAAAAAAATATTGCATCCTGACTCCACTTTTGTCATCATATATCATCTCAATAAAAGTCAGTAATTAAAGAAATGCTGGAAAGAAAGGAATTCTGGACTGAGAAGCATTTATTAGGCCCTACCAATGTTGTTGGCCTAGGCCTAGCTACTTCGAAAGTTCTCTTCACTCCCCATAGACTTTGTACACAACTGCTGAAGTGGAGTCAGGATGCAACATTTTTTCCTAATGGCGTAATCCATCCTACTTGGTGTTAATGGAAGAGACTCTTGAAACGTGGAAGTCTATCAGTTAATCGTGTCACTTTTTCATGGCATGCGAATTCACTATGACAAAAAGTAGGCCTATGCATGATCAGTGCTGGCACCATTCATGCAAATGACTTGTCGGTAGCCTAGTGGATGTTGTCAACATCAAAGTGCCCCGTATAGTGCTGCAAAGTGGCGCAAGATGGAGAACTCTGCCAAGAAGGTGTTATTGCCATGGAGGTGTTCTTACCATCTCCTGCATCTGTCCATGTCCTATCACCATGGGCACCATTCGAGTATGAATGTTAATGCATGAGTCTATTAAGTGCAGGCATACCAGGTGTGCATGCCTAGTCACAGCACCTGCACTTGTTACATGGTTACATTAACATAGCGTATTCACACCCAAATGGCTCCCATGGGATAACAGTGTTTTACGCATATTCACAGCGTAGTTTTCTATCTTGCGATGCTATACAATCTTTGGTCTACATGTACATTTCATTGTGTGCTTGGAAGAAGGGCATAAGCGCTCAGGCATATGCCCTTTTGCCAGGAAGTATTATCAACTGCAAATAACTTTCCTGGCAAAAGGACGTATGTATGCAACTGTTTTATTTTAATGATGTGTGTGAAGATTTCTTTTTTAATAAACTTTTACGAATTTGTCCCAAGTGGTTTAATAATGTTGTTCAATGTTTGCTTTTTGTACAGCCTGTGTTGATTTTGGAGTAAATTTATGCATTTTTACTAAATAAAGAGAGTGTGTTTCTTACACTCTTTTGCCGGGAGCATTTTTTCTGCTCTGATCATGCTTTCCAGCAAAAGGGCGTAAGCCTTTTGCTAGGCACACAATGATAACTGAAGACAACGTCCAACCTCGGCTACCAGTGACATGCCCATCCCACATCCCAACCAAACGTCGTATTCGGTTCATAAGTGACTTCATCACAGAGGCGGGCACGCCACGATTTGCAGGCTCCCATTGGAGGATCACTGATGTTGCGCATTAACTTCCAGTCCCATGGTTCCATGTAAACGGTGATCAATTTTGTCAGTGCGTGTAACTTTGTGCAGTGCATATATATGCAGTGAGCATGGTTTAAAATGAAGTGATGTCACACTTACGAACTGGATAGTGCAGCATAGTGGCGCAAGATGGAGAACTCTGCCAAAAAAGGTGTTATCACCATCGTTGCTATTCGAGTTAGGAATATGTCTGTGCAGTGCACGTCAATGCAACAGATACAGGCCCACCAGGTGTGCATGTGCGTTCATGTCACAGCACCTGTGCCTGTTGCATTAACATACACTGTGCAGGTGTATTACCAACTCCAATGGCACCCATGGATGCGATTACAACATTTTACACATATTCATTGTGTAGTTCTCCATCTTGTACCACTATGCGGCACTTTATGATTTTTGATCACAACCACCTGCCAGGTTAACCAGAAACATGCTGCTGCTGCCATAAACTATCTGGCTATCCAATTTGGGAAGAATTCCATACATGTAGGACCCAATTTGGGAAGAATTCCATACATGTAGGACCCAATTTGGGAAGAATTCCATACATGTAGGACCCAATTTGGGAAGAATTCCATACATGTAGGACCCAATTTGGGAAGAATTCCATACATGTAGGACCCAATTTGGGAAGAATTCCATACATGTAGGACCCAATTTGGGAAGAATTCCATACATGTAGGACCCCCCCATAGGCCTTTCACTGCTTTTTCCACACAGGGACATGCACTGTAGCCCTACTTGTGGCAGCTGCCAGAAAGTGATAGCAATAGACCGATTGCGCCAGTTAAGTCACGTGACCTATAGTGGGTATTAGATAGCAACAAACACAGCGTCCACCCAAAGCAAAGTGTGTCATAAGTAACAGTTACCAAAAATAAAGCCGACTGTAAGCACCGTACTCGGACTACTGATGTGCTGGGTGCTATTCCGTAGCTTTGCTGTATTGTTTGTTAACAACACTCAAAACACACATTGCTGTGGGGTTGATACCCACTATAGGTCACGTGATTTAGTAGACGCAATCGGTCTATTAGGCTTACATTATCCTAAAATGTCAAATGTATGGAGAAGGAAAAATAATGAGCTTTTTGAAGTTGGTCCAGTTAGCAATATTTACTGTGGAGCCTACTTAGCTAGAATTTCCTGGAAAATAGACATTTTTTAGACCAGCCACAGTCATACATGGCATATAGAGGCCTCCATGGTAGTTGGGTTTGGAGACAGGGTGTCAAGTGATGTCGACAGGCCTATGGGGCTTGTTCCATCTGTGAACAGGTTGTAAAATGCTTTTACAGTTAGTTATACAGCAACTGAACACGCGCTGCGCGTGTTTTGGGAACTTAAACATTTTATTGTGACACTGACAAATCTGTTCATGTGGTATGGTGTTATATTTGTATACCATCTTGTGTCTCGCATCTCACACCTTGCATCTCCCCTGATGCATCTTGCATCTGCCATCTCACATTTTACGTCTCGCATCTGATATCTCATATCTAGCATCTCATACCTGTCATCTCGTATTGCGCATCTTACGTCCAAATTACCTTGGACGCTCCATTTAGGCATGCGCAGTCAGAATACTAAACTGGCTCCTATGAGATGCAGGCGTAGGTCGCGTTTCATGACATAAACATGCAACCAAATGTCCTCTGCCAACCTGCATGTGTTCACAGCATAGAGCATACAGGAAGTGGTCTTCAAGTTTGGTTTCGAGCGGCCCTATGGGAAACCAAGTTGAGAAAGAGTTCCATATACGGATGTTACATGTACGTGACACACTGTGAACAAATCCTGTAATACTGATCTGAAAAATTCTAAATGTTTTCTAAGTAAGTACTTCAATATTTTCCCAACTAAAATTGGCTTTTTAGGATATGTTATCACTTTCTAATGGCTTTTCTAATGGCTTTCTAAGTACATGTGTACTTCAGGGGTAAATTAGTGATGTCCGCATCCTCTGTGGTTCTTGACCCTAGGCCCTGAGGACCAGCGCTCTAGTGCTGCACATCTTAAACACTTAGTCATGTGATCACACTTAACCCTAACCCCCTAGGCCTTTTTACTAGGAATCATCTTGAATCCTCCGAAATCCTCCTGTTTTCAACTTGAAAAAATTGCATTCAACCCAAATCCTCCAAATTTCTTGAAAATGTCATTTGAAGGTGTGTCTAACTGCCCAAATCCTTCAAAATCCTCCTGCAATTCCTGTCACTATGTTGAGGCAATTCAAATGGCACTCTTGAGCTATGCAGTGATTCAAAAAAACATATCGGGCCGAACTTGTGCTTAACTAAGCACAAACAACATAAGGTCTGATCCATGACCTTCACGTATGGCATCCTTCGAAATCAGCCAGGCACTTTTGCCATACACCCTGAATCCTCTGAATTCTTCCATTTTGCAGAAAAGACACTCCATCAGGATGGGTGACGAAACTGCAAAGTACCACCTGCCGTCACTGGAGACTGACACCCTGGACTACCTCACTGACTGCTCCAAGCACTATGCGCTAATGCACGGGATACTGAAGAGAGCAGTTGGTAGTCTGGATTCCTCCGAGATTGTGACCTACGTGCCCCACACACTATTCCCTTCTCCGTTGCCTCATGGATTGTATGAAGTGGCAAATCAGATGCAAGACAGCATCAACATTTTGATGCTCAGGGTAGCTACAGATAAGGAGTTCCTCATGACTTCACTCAAAAGGCACAGTATTTTAGAAAATGTAGCTTTTTACAACAATTTTGGCTAGTGGAAATTGTGTAAATAAGCAACTCGTGTCAGCAGCTTGTGCTGGTTACCGTGCATTTCAACTTTGGGCTGGTAGCAAAGGCTATGGAATATCTAAATGCAAGTTCATATTTACTTCAATCTTAACCAAAGTTTTCCCTTTTTACTCATTAGCACTATTGCTGTGGACGATTTCACATCCAGATTGATGGACCTGTATCAACAAGTGGAAAGTGAAGGACTGAGGAAGGTAAGAATTTTCTGACAGGTTGATATCAGAAAGGCTTGTTGAATTCACCTGCCCAACCCGTCCCACTTGCTTGTTCTAATTCACCTTATATTTTGCTTTTTTTCTAGCCCATATCGATGTGTGTGGTACGTCCAGATTATATGGTGGATACGACGGGGCCCGAGTTAGCCTTCAAACAAGTTGAAATCAACACCATCGCGGCAGGCATGGGTGGCATTGGTATGCAGATAGCTGACCTTCACAGGTACATCTTGACCTCATCCTCAGGGAGCCAGTTGACGTTGCAGGCGCATGGTGCTTGCTCAAAATGAAGCACCTTAGGTCTTTTGGAAACTGCTGTATGTGTGTGCTGAAGGTCAGCCATGTCAGTGCGGCCATACACCGACCCGCATGCACTGAACATGTTTGAACTGCCCTGATGTCAGGTGCTTTGTTCTTGACCAACTTTGCGTTTTGAAATACCCAAATGACTCATTCTTGGGTTGCACCACAGATAAAGTGACATTAAGAGTTGGAATACCACAAACTGGCTGATATTTCACCACAAAGTCTGTGTATGATGAGTCACCTAGTTGTGTGTCAGAACCATTGTAACTGCCATTTCGTCGTGTTGGCGAAAACTGAAGTACATGTAGGCCATACTTTTAATGGTTAGTGATTTCCATTCTACATAGAGTAAAAGGTTAATTAACCCTTCTATGCAGAAGTCACTCTTTGGATCACTTGGTAAACACCACAATGAAGCACAGCTGTGTTGTGTTGTGCACTGCACCAACTATCCCTCACAGGAATATCAGATTGCACTTTTGTGCTGCCCAACAACTGTGCCTCACTGTTTCATGTGCATCATTGTGCAGTAAACCAAATGCAGTGAAGAGGACTGCACAAAAGACCTTTCATTTTGTGCTGGCAGCCTACTGTGTACATATAGATGTATATAGAAAATACATGCTCACCACTGACTGTGGGCATTTGTGCACATTTGTGCTGTAAAACCAAAGGAGGGTTAATATGTATGTACATTTATTAACAGACTACTTTACTACTGACTACTTTATACTGCTTTACATCTGTGCACCCACAGAAGTAAGTTATGTGGTATTGAAGCTGAATATGTCAGATGCTTGCTTGAATCCAAATCTCACTCTTGAGAACACAGCTCAGAGATAAGTCCATTATCCCATCCATGTATGCCACTTCGACTGAATTTCAGTGAACTGAATTGTACTGCCAGGTATAACGTGGGACTGTGCAATGAGATGAAGGCGGAGTTGGCTGGCAACAAAGCTGTCATGGCGATTGGCGAGGGAGCAGCAAAGGCATGGGAACTCTATGGACGGCCAAAGTATGTGGGCCCTCTAAACAAGGGAGATACACGGCCTTGTGGTTAGGGCTTGCGGCTGTGGGGTTACAGTTCAAGCCCTAAGAAATGGTTATGTGTTGTGACCTTGAGGAAGTCACTTAACCCCCATGTATCTCTCTCTGCTCAGTTGTATAAAAATGGATATTGTCTGGAATGGTAATCATATTGTAGCATTTTCTCCTAAAATGGCAGTACAAATATTGAGCTGTACACTCCCCGGAGAGCTGAGGTGATTTCAGAAATGTTCAGATGTGGTGTGCTGGATAGTTTCAAACGTCACAAATAACCTGTTCTAGTACATCACTATTCCCACTTATCAGTGCCTTTTTCTGATCAGAGAGTCAAACAAATCACAGATGTAGGAATTTCCTAAGACTTTGTGCCACCGTTATTATATACTTTTATTTGGCCCTACTGTAATTCGTGTCTAGTGCATGGAGCACAAAATGTCTTCTATGGAGACCGGTGTATGCTGTGAATACTACGATATGGCAGAGAATGCAATGACTCTCTACTGCGTACTGCAGGCAATTTAATCACTTCCTGCTGGGGATTCCGGATCTGGACACATATGCTTTATATGCGTGGCCAGGGTCTTTGAACTCAGACA